TCATTTCTCTTTCCTTCTCTCTGTCTCTTTTACACATATCTCATATTATCCTGTTCTGTCTATCCCAGGCTAAGTGTGCATAATATGTAAAAACTGCTTTGTCAGTTGAGTCTCCCTGGGTTGGAGAGGGGGCATATTGGTTCAAATCTGGATTCAAGTAGAGCAAAGCTAATGAAGCGAAGATAAACAATGACTGGACACTGGGAGTGGAAAGGACTCATTTCCATGACTGAGTAGTCTGAGTAGAACGATGGTCATTTTCGTGATGGTCAGTCGTCTCCAGCAATGGTTATCAGTGTATCCATGGCTTATTGTGTGTGTGTGTGTTTGTGTTTTTTTTTGTAGAGTTTGGGAAGCTCATTTATTCTTTTACCCATTGACTATTTAGTGACTTATTTATTCAACAGCACTCAAAAGACAGTAAACAACTCTTTATTTAACTCTGCTATGTACTATGTCCCCACCTGTGATTGGACCAGGAAGTAGAAAAGTAAGAAGCAGCACCTGCTTTGAAGGAAGTTAAAAGTTTAGTTAAGACTCAAGAACTCACACCACAGTCACACCAAGGTCCATGTGATGTAAGACTGAAATTTCAGAGAAAGGACAGTGAAGGGAATCAAGGCGAGTCTGATGGGGGAAGGTGGTGTTTGAGCTGCATCCTGACAGGTTTCCAGCTCTCGAACTGTGCAAAGGGGAGCAGGAAGGGCATTTCTGAAGGAGGGAACCGGAAGGTGCAAGAATGAGAAATTGTCTCCCTTGGGCCCTGTTTCCTTATCTGGAAAAGTATGAAAAGTGTGCTATAAGTTTTATGTTTTTCTGAAAGAGTATCACAGGCCCAAAAGACAAAAAACATAATCCATATTCTATAGAATTGAAATTTTGCCCTCTTTGAAAGAAAAGAAACAGAAGCATCTTTTTTTGGTTTATTCATAGATACTTCCTACCCTTCCTATCTTCTACAGCAATATTCTACTGGGTCAGTATTATCTGTAGGACTCCAGCTCTTTGGATAACAGGGGTTTTGGTGAAATAAACATTATATGGTCAAATAAGTGTGATGAAGACTGTGCTGATCAAAGTGAAATTACTATTTTACCGTCGGTTTACTCAGAGCCTGTAAGATGCAAATGTGCAGTCATGATTCCTTAAGCTGAGGGATGTATTTTGCCATGTTTTCCAAACTCTTTTTCTTTGGAGGACGTCTTGAAATGGGTTGTTTTGTTGAACTTACGTCGGAAAATGCTGCATTAGCTGATGCTAATTTTGAATACCATGATTATTATTTTACCTGTGAATGAAATATTCCAGGCATTTCTCAGTTCCCCATGCTGTTTGAGAAAGCAGTGCAGTTATAATGGGTTAGCAGACTTTTTTTTCAAGTGATTGAATTAGGGAATTAACAATTCTCATATACATTAACTCACTTATCTTCACAACAATCCATGAGATGGGTACTATTATTATTATTATTATTAATTATTTATTTCTTTTAGAGTCTCTTTGTTGTCCAGGCTATAGTGCAGTGGTGCAATCTAGGCTCACTGCAACCTCCTCCTCCCAGGTTCAAGTGATTCTCCTGCCTCAGCTGCCCAAGTAGCTGGGATTATAGGCATGTGCCATCACGCCTGGCTAATTTTTGTATTTTTAGTGGAGATAGGGTTTCCCCATGTTGACCAGGCTGGTCTTGAACTCCTGGCCTCAAGTGATCCACTTGCCTGGGCCTCCCAAAGTGCTGGGATTCCAGGTGTGAGCCATCATGTCTAGCTGAGATGGGTATTATTATTATCTTTGCTTATGGATAAGGACCTTGAGGCACAGGGGCATTAAATCAATTGCCCAAGGTCACACAATCATTAGTGGTAGAACTGAGATTTGACCTGAGTAGTTTGACTCCACAGCCTGGTCAGGCAACCACTGCCTTGTGTGAGCTTGGGAAAATCATCTTATTTCTCTGTTCTTAATTTAATTCATAATAAAGTGGGGGATAATAATATCTACGCTAACTCCCTCCCTGAGTTATTGTGAGATATCAGGAAAAAACAAAGTTATAAAAGTACAGTAAAATTCAGTACGGCTATTAAAACATTCAAATGAAGATGAAGAAATACACTAGATGGCTTATTTCTTTAATTGCAAGGAGTTAAAAGCCACAATTATCCAATTGTCCTTTGCCTGTGCTTCATTATGAATATGCTCTTACTCTTTTAAGGGATATATATATTTTAAATTTTTATTTATTTATTTATTTTGAAACAGGTCCCCCTCTGTCATCCAGGCTGCCGTGCAGTGGCATGATCATAGCTCACTACAGCCTTGAAATTCTGGGTTCAAGCAATCCTGCACTTCAGCCTACTGAGTAGCTGGGGACTACATGCGTCCAGCACTATAGCTGGTTAATTTTTAAAATTTTTCTTTTGTAGAGATAGAGGTCTCACTATGTTGACCAGGCTGGTCTTGACCCCTGGGCTCAAGTGATCCACACTTCTTGGCCTCCCAAAAGATTTTTTTTTTTTTTCTTTTAAGATGGAGTCTTTCCCTCTCGTCAGGCTGGAGTGAAGTGACACAATCTCGGCTCACTGCAATCTCCGCTCCCCCACCCTCCAGGTTCAAGTGATTCTCCTGCCTCAGCCCCCCGGAGTAGTTGGAATTACAGGCACCCGCCACCACGCCCAGCAAATTTTTGTATTTTTAGTAGAAATGGGGTTTGCCATGTTGGCCAGGCTGGTCTTGACTCCTGACCTCACGTGATCCACTCGCCTCAGCCTTCCAAAGTGCTAGGATTAGAGGCGTGAACCACAGAACCCAGCTTAATTTTTGTATTTTTTTGTAGAAACGGGGTCTCACTATGTTGCCCAAGCTGACAAAGAACTTTTAAACACAGTTGAAACTGTACAACTATAGAAGGTGCCACCTTGTGAATATCTGGAAAAACTAAAAAAGTTAAAATGGCAAAAGCTCAGAAGATTATCGGGTGTCCTATGGCATGCTAGTCTTATCTAAAGCACCTTTCTGGATTATCTGATTTTTTAACGATTTGTGCCTTATAAAATCTTGCAGCTATTTTCCAACTTGGTAAGCTGTAGAAAATTCATAGGAATGCCAATAATTCTTGTCCATAGAGATATAAATGAATTTTGCCTGGTAGAAGTGCAATTGCTCTTCCACCACCCTGAGGCCAGTTCTGCATTTATTATTTATAAATTTTTATTTTTATTAAAACAAAAATTTTTTTTCATTTTTTAAATTTTAAGTTCTGGGGTACATGTGCAGATCTTGCAGGATTGTTACATAGGTATACACATGCCACGGTGGCTTGCTGCCTCCATTCCCCCGTCACCCTTCTCCTAATATTATCCTTCCCCAATCTCCCTACCCCTTGCTATCCCTCCCTTAGCACCCCACCCACAACAGACCCCAGTGTGTGATGTTCTCCTCCCTGTGTCCATGTGTTCTCATTGTTCAACACCCACTTATGAGCGAGAACATGTGGAAAACAAAATTTTTAAGACAGAGTCTTGCTCTGTTGCCCAGGCTGGAGCCCAGTGGTGCGATGTCAGTTCACTGCAATCTTCACCTCCCAGGTTCCAGAGATTCTTCTGCCTCAGCCTCAGCTGGGATTTATAGGGGTACGCTACCACACCCGGCTAATTTTTTGTATTTTTAGTAGAGATGAGGTTTCAGGATGTTGGCCAGGCTGGTCTTGAAGTCCTGACGTCAAGTGATCTGCCCGCCTCAGCCTCCCAAAGTGCTGAGACTACAGGCGTGAGCCATCAAATCAGGCCAATTGTGCGTTTATTAATGCGTTCATTTCAGCATTCCTGATTGCCTATATATGAGCGTGCTCTTTGTGTTTTCCTCTGAACAGGGTTAGCCTCTTACTGGTTTCCTCATTCATTAATGAATAAAACAAAGTCTTTGATGTATGTGCATTTTATATTTGTAGGGAAGTCATGATTTTACTCTTTTAAAAACAATTATCCTGTAACAGGAACCCTTTGAACAGAGGCTAACAGGCCACCCTTGATTCCTGCTGTAGAAAGAATTTCTTACTCCAGACCCCAATGGTCCTTTTCAGATTTCTAACGTGAAGGGTTGTTCATAGCTCTGCCTCTCTCAAAAGACTCTATTTTCCTAAAGCGCAGGGACCTAACTGTCGCCACCAACAAAAATGTTTTAAGGGCAGGGTGTGGTGGTGCACGCCTGTAAGTAATCCCAGCACTTTGAGAGGCCAAGGAGGGCGGATCGCTTGAGTTCGGAAGTTCCAGACCAGCCTGGGCAACATGGAGAAACCCCATCTCTACAAAAAATGCAAAAATCAGCCGGGTGTAGTGGCAGACGACTGTAATCCCAGCTACTTGGGAGGCTGGGAAGGGAGGATGGCTTGGGCCAGGGGGTCGAGACTGCAGAGAGCCATGATCACACCACTGCACTCAATTTGGGCAACAAAACGAAACTCTGTCTAAAAAACAGACAGACAGCAAGCAAGCAAGCAAACAAACTAACCAACCCACCCCCAAACTCCCCCAAAATATCTTAAGGTAAGGAGGTGGTAGTGTTTCTGATCGACTCGTCTTTCCTAGTATGACCACCAGGGAGCGCAAAAGCCCTCCCTGTACTAAGTGGGGGCCACCCCGCCCGCGAGGGCGGCTGGCAGAAAGCCGTGCGCGGGACGCGAGAGAGGACTAGGGCCGGGACTCGCGGGGCCGGCTCAAACAGCCCGACCGCATCTTTATGATGCGGAAGAGGTCAGCAGGGAGCACGCACCCAGATAGCAGAAGAGGGCAAGATACTGCTAGAATGACAAAGACATTTACGGCCTTTTCACCTGAAAACCCAGAGCAGATCCTATTCTTGAGAATTAAATCTTCGGCTCGCCAGACCCGTTTGTTGAGCTCCACTCTGATGAATGTGTCATTTGTTCCCAAGAAGACAAATTGGGTAGGGAAAAGAGGGGGAGGCGGGGAGAAGACAGGATAAAGGGACGATCTGCTTTTCGGAAGCGGAAGCCGCCTGGGAACCACCTGCGCACCGCGCGGGCTGCGAGGAGGGCGAGCGCTCCAGTGCAGAGCCCTGTATTTTACAGCTCTTCCTCGCTCACAGGCTTCACAGCAAACTACGAAGTGGGCATCATCTCCAATTTACAGACGCGGGAACGGGGTCCTCTTGAGAAACTGTACTTTCCCAAACGTATGCAAATTGTGAGTGCCCAGTGTCTCCACTGGCACCAACAACATGAGCTGCTTACGTTTCTCGGAGCGGTCCCCACTTCCAACAAGCAAAAGATCCACATTCTTTGACCGCCCCGAGCCGTCCTGCATCTCCAGATCTCCAGGTCTTTCCTCGTGACACCTCCTCCATCCCCCCACTTTCACTGCGAGCACCCCAGAGGCTGATTCCACTCCTCGGAATGCCTTCCCCCCGGCGGGTTATTTTTAGAATACTAGACTCACACCCAACCACATCACATTGTCTTGAGTTATTTGTTTTCGGGAGCTTGTCTCCGCCTAGCAACGGGTCTGCTAAGAACTGGATCGTAGCGCGGAGCCGGGCCAGACAGGCGCTCTTGCTCTTCCTCGGCCCTGCGGCGGGATCCGCCGGCCCAGGGGCCTCTCCCCGGACTCCACGCGTGTCTGGAGGGCTCTCGGGTTAGGGAAGTGGTGGTTGGAGACGCCCCGGGCGGCCGGGCGGTGGCGGGGCGCGGGTCCTTTAAGAAGGAACGCGGGGCGCGGCCAGGTAGGGGCGGGTCCCGGGCGGATCAGCGCTGCGCCGGCGCCTGCCCGGGAGCCGGATTTGGAGCGCGCGGCGCCGGTGGGGGCGGAGGGGCGGGGCGGTGGGGCTTCCAGTGGCCTCGGACGCTCCTCCTGGCTCGCGTCCGCCGCCCGCCGCCACCTGCGCCTCCAGCTCCTTCGCCCCGGCGGGCCTGGCCGCCGCTTCCGGCAGCTCACCTGGGCCGCGCTCACCTGGGCCGCGCTACCTGCCTGCGGGCGCCTGGGCTCCAGGATGAAGGACCGGCTGGAGCAGCTGAAGGCCGTGAGTGTCGCCGCAGGCGGGGGGCTGCGTGGGAGAGGGGCTTCCTTTTGCTCCCCAGGTCGAGGCTGGAGGGGGCCCGAGCCTGAGGCCTGCCCTCCCCAAATCCCCACCGCTTCCCGCGCCGGTTCCGCACCCTCCCCTCCCCTCCCTCACGGGGTCATGTGCCCGGTGATTCATCGCTAGGCAATGATTTTCCTGAACGCCTCTAATCCTCCCACCCCGCAAGCTGGACAGTGTCTGTCCAGAGCTGGGTCTCAAGGAGGGTGCTTGGGCCCGGCAGGGCTCACCATGAGGTCAGGGGTCCCTTCACCACCTGCCCACTGCTGCCTGGCATTACGCCCAGGACCAGCCTCCTCTCCCTTTCCAGTTTCCCTCCTGAGGGGCGCCAGGTCTGGCTACCTCTCCCCCCAGGGAGCAGCTCAGAGCTCCCTGGTGACTCTGGAGCTGTGAGGTGGTCACCTGCCGGGATGGGTCAGCTCCTCTCCAGCTGGTGGTTCGTAATTGTTATCCTCGCGTGTCGTTGTCCCCCATCCCCGACCGTATCTTTTGGAACAGCTGTGTAGACTGCCTCCCGCCCTGCTGCCCAAAAGCTGTAAAACCTTAGGCTACTTACTGAGTCTCTGTTTCCGTATCTGTCACATGGGAGTGATCATACCCTAAGAATTTGTTGGGAGGATCAGATGATACAAGGGAACTTGGTATAGAGAAGGGTTAACGCAGGGGGTTTTAAGACAGTTATTCATTGAATCATTCAATACGTAATTATTGAGTGTATTCTTTGAGGAGGTCCAGTGCTAAGCCTTGGAGATTCGGTGGCATAGGTTCTACCTTAATAAAATTAAAATATAGCCCTTGACACTCAAGAGTTTGGTCCATCTACATTGGAGCTCGTCACAACTGTAGCAGCTTAGGTCTCAGTCTAGCCACGCAGAATCGGAATCTAGTTGTTCATCAGTTTTCCCAGGTGACTCATGGGCACATAGTTTGGGAAGCACTGGACTGGACTAGAACTGGGGTTGCCTCCTGGCTCCACCGCTTACTGGCGACCCCTTAAACTCCCAGCCTAAGTTTTCTCATCTGTAAAATGGGTGGTTGTAAGGTCTAAAAGCAACAGAACATGCATAAGAACGCTTTTATGGTGCATGGCACGGGGGACTTAATAAATGGCGAATATTATGCTAGTGATTGTGAGTGCTCTTTGGAAAATGCAGAGTGTTTGATGATGTTACAAGAGTTTATCCTTTTCCTGCCTTGCTTGGATGAGACCTTCATGTCTGTTTCACCTGTTCTGGGTAACAGGGCTGCGGAGGAGACAGAGAGCTGGGGAAGTGAGAGAAGCAAAGGGACAGTTGTCTGTTGTGGGAATGGTTTCTTGCCTCAGGCTTGTTCTTAGTCATCTGAGCCTCACAGTGTCCAGGTTACTGATCGAGAAGAATTTATTGCCCCTCTTTTTATAGATGGGGCAACTGGTGCTCACAAGGTAGGAGGGATGCCCCAGGACACAGAGCCAGCTAGGGTATGACCAGGAGAGGAACCCAGGTTCCTGACACTCTCCATGGTGCTCCTTCCCTTGAAGCATGCTGACTGGGGAGACAGAAGGAAAAGAAGAGCATGGTTTTGACAATCTCTCTGTGTTGGCACACCCAACCATAAAAAAAACAAAACTGAACAGCAGACTCCTCCATTTGTTAGGAAATCCATTTCCACAGGAAGATACTCCACGGCCCCTTTTCAATAGCTCATTGTCAACCATGAGCAAAGAGTCTTAACTGAGCTTTGAGTTCCAAGAATACATTTAATTTGCCTGGGAAACCTGAGCAAGTCCCTTTGTTTCTCCTTGGTGCCTCATGGTTACCCTCTGCAAAATGGAATTAATGATGGGTTTCCTCCCTTTCCCTCTTGGGGATGTGGTGAAAGTGAGACTGGAGATGGTGGTGTTATTATGGGAGGATTGTTCTGAAATCACAGGGTGGCTGCCCTAGCGTTTTGGAGCAGATGCATGGCAGCTCGGGACAAAGGGATGTAGGTGATAGGTCACAAGACTCTGATCACTGTGTTTCTTTGTGTCACTTAACTTCTCTGCTTCTCAATTTGTCCTTTGTACAACAAGGAATTTAGTTGATCTCAGAAGCCCCTTCTGGCGTTATTATAGGTTTCTGTGAAGACTGTTAAGGTTTACGTGGATTTTGGTGTCCAATTCACCTCCTCTTACCCCCTCTTCCCAGCTGGACTCCCAGGGATCAATCTCACTGAAACAAGACATGCATCTTCTCCCTGATTTCCACTATCAATGAGAAGCATTCGTTAACCTATATGAAACAAATTTCACATCGAGCAGCCTATGCAATCTCTTTCTGTGGTGTTCATTCTAAACCCTGGGGAGGCGGGGTGGTAACTGCCGCCCAAGAGCTGGAGAGCTTTCCTGCCTGAGACTGGCTTTGCTGTGGGTAGATACAGGGAAAACATGTGGGGCTGATGGGTAGAAATGAGGAATCTGTAAGAAAGCATTTTTAGTGGACAGAGCTGCCCAAGGATGGAGTGGATGGTGTACCCTCCAGCATGGGAAGGAGGCAGGAAGGTTGTTGGGATGTTGAATGTTGTAGGAATTTGAGCATCCCTTGGAGGGGAGGTGAACCAGGAGATACAAGGCCTTCACAACCTTGAGAATGCGTGGTTTTATAAAATGATTCATTGTCTGTGAGCCTGTGGTAAGGCTTTGAAGTTTCCAGGGACTGAGACCTCAGAGTAGCCCCTGTAAAGTGGATCATCACCCTTTTCCCATAGGATCATTGTGAGAGTAAAATGAGATAATCTGTGACAGTCACCCGCCACTGTTATTGTGAGTTCCCTTGTCTTGGCCTGCTGGTAGCAATGTCCACACAGAAGCGCATCCTTTCATGAGGCCATGGTCACATACCTGACTTACCTGATGTCATTTCATCTCATCTCTTACATTTCTCTTCCTGGTAGGCTCTGTTGACAGGCTGTTTCTTCAGTGACAGAGGACAGGCTTGCCGGGAATGTGCAGTGTCTCCACCCAGCCTATCTCAGGACATGGTTCTCTCTGATTTCTCAGCAGCTGAACTTTGAATCTCCTGAGTCTAGTGATCTTTTGCCTGGCCCTGTTTTCATTCAGCAAACATTTACTAAGTACTGAGTACCTATTGTGCGCCAGTCCTCACACTAGATGGTGGAGTATAGTGGTGATAAACACATGTTCCTGGCCCTTAGAAAGTTCACGCTTGGAAGAAACAGAAGAAATAGACATGAGGATACCATCCTTGTGATAGAAGCAACCACAGGAAGACCCTGTTGTCCAGTCCTTGGAAGATGGGAGATGGGCATGAGGCTTTGGGTGGGTTCCCGAGAAGAAGTAATGCTTGAGCTCAGCTGCTTCTTCCAGCCCAGTCTGACCTCTTCAGATACATAAAGGTGTTTGGAGATATGTAAGGCACCCTACGTACCAGATACGTAAAAGTTCCTTGTCTTGAATCCTCTCAACCCTGCAAGGGAGACTGGGTTTTTATGTTATTCTCATTTTACAAGTGAGGGAATTGAGGCTTAGCAAGAAAAGCAAGGATCCTAGATTTTCTTAATCACTTTCCCATTGGTGTATAAACCATCAAGAGCATATAAAACTCAAGGGAGCATCAGCAGAGTCGCTGGGGTATGGTACCTGCTGATCACCATGGTCAGAACTTTGTGACCTCCATGTGCCCCACATCCTGCTGGCCATCAAGTTTAGGTAGGATTATACACAGTCCTGGTATCGAAGGGTAAATAAATGGTCACGTAGGGAAAACAGAGACATGTGGTACATGACAAGAGGACCAACAGTAATCGAAGGGCGATGATGGTAACGGAGAAGCCAGTGGGGTGTGGAATAGAGGTTGAAGGCTTTGGGCCCCCCTGGAGACTCATCTATAGAGGACTAGATATGACGTGGATGTAATGGCACTTTGAAGACCAGCACCAATAGGAACACGCTAATGAAATCGACCACCTGGGGCTCTAAAGGCCACACTGACTTTTTACTCTCTCTGTTCTATCTTGTTTCTTACTCCTTCCTAAATGGCTGTTGTTGGCCTCCTTCCCCACTGGAAGCTCCAGGATCTTTGTGGAATCATAGTTCCTTAGGATAACATTGTAACCCCATTAGAAATGTGGAGCTGTGTACTTCCCCTTTAAAGCTTAATTTGTTAATAAATATTTATTGAGCCACTTTTATGTGTCAGGTGCTTTGGATCATAACTGAACCTTAACATACCAATCTGCTGTTTCACTGGGATTCTGTCCTTTTCTAGTCATAAAATTTCATACAAGTCAGGATTCCTGCCTCCCCTCTTCTCTGCACCTGGGAGGATTCATTCTCTGGGAGAGCGGTTTTTCTGTGAGCAGACGGGAAGCAGAGTGGAGAGTGATGGGGATTGAGTGGGGATTACAGCTCCATCAGCCGGAGGCCAGAAAATGCTTGGGTGAGAGAAGGGGATTAATTTTATTTTTATTCCTGTGAGTGTGGGGGAAGTTGGGGGAATTCACAGGAACTAAGGGGGCGGGGGACACTTGTTCATGTTGTCCTCTCTCTCCTCCAAAGTGTCCTCCCTGCCTTTGTCAAAATTTCTACCCGTCTTCCAAAACTCATTCTTTATAAGAGGTGTTCTCTAACTGCAACCTAGAGTGCTCTCCTCCATTCTTGTAGCTCTCATGGGCTGCATGTTGCTTTGCAGTGAGGTATTTTTTTGGGGGGATTACCATGGAGTGGGTTTGAAACCACTGTCCATTGCTTTTTATAAGTTGGACTCTTTGCCATCTAGGTCCTTTGTCTTTAAGGTCGATGTTTCTAGTACTTCTTGTCACCATATCAATTATAATAACTGATCATTTATTGAGGAGCTGCTAACTATTAGAGAGACTTATGCTGCGTACCTTACATACCTGGTCTCTAATTCTCTCAACCCTGCAAAGCAGGGGTTTTTATATTATTCTCATTTTGCAAGCAA